GGCGGCGGTGGCAGCAGTGGCAGAGGAGGTGGTGTACCTTCAGCAGCAGCAACAACAACAACAGTCGTTGTATTGGTAGGATGCTGGCCTTCATCCCTTACTGCCATTTCGGTAATGTTCACATTGTTTACTGCGGCTGGCATGATCTCTGGCTGAGTTGGCGTATCAACGCTAGCGTCTGCCATTTCAGCACAAATAACAGGGGGGGCCGGGCGGTCTGCATTTGATTGTGCGGAGGGCTGATGCTGGCTGCAGTCAACATTGGTGTCAGGTGATGAGTGGTGGACCTGCGCACTGAATCAACTTTCGGGAGTGGCTGAGCGATTGCCCAGCGAACCATTCAACGAAACCAGTTCGAAAGCCGTGTGACATGAGTTGGTAGCCGGCGTTGTCAGCCACGCACATATGCAGTCCAGCCTCTAGCCAGGACTCTGGGAGGATGGCCCCTGACAAGCATACGCCGTGTCAGGGAAGTCACTACCGCTTTGAAGTCAGTAGTATTGTTTGTTCGAATCTCGTTAGTTGTCCCGTAAGCACACCTGCAGGCTGATGAGCCGGAGTGTTGGGGGAAGCACTGGGATAACGTATGACAGGGAACGTCCAGTTTTCGGCCTTATCAAATACGCCAATGCGAAGAGAGCCATCAGGCCGAACCAACCTCTTGCCCCAAGGAAAAGACATGACCCATCTTGCTCAGTAGTGCCTTTCCACTCAAGACCATACCTTGCAGGAGACGGCGGTAATGTCTTCCAAGATAGAATGTCATCAATAGTGTGTGTGTGTGTGTGTGTGTGTGTGTGTGTGTGTGTGTGTGTGTGTGTGTGTGTGTGTGTGTGTGTGTAGGCATGTGTGAACACATATGGCAGTTAGCCTCAGCACGGTAACAGACCATGCTCCATACCACCATAATACCTCAAGAGAGAGAATTACGCATCTGAGCGAGTCCAGCCCTAAGACAATCCTTCAAGTACTACACCCAGACAGACCACAGCATTAGCATAAACAGAACAGTGACAACCAGCACGACGCACTAGGAAGAGGCCAACAAAGAACAGTGAAGCAAAAGACATGAGGCAAAGAAGGCATTGGACGACGAGCGGCAGCAAATGACATTGGCCGAAGAGCACGAGTGAGGCGGGTGGGAAGACAAACAAGACAAGGCAACAACGCGAAAAAGAACCACCACAAGATAACCAACAAGGCATAGAATGACAGGCAGCAGATAAGGACAAAGGTTTGAGGGCACGCGGGAGGCGGACGGCAGAAGACAACACACAAACCAGGAGAACCATAAAAAAAATACAAAGACTAAATTGGAGCCTGAGATTGACTTCACAGTGTCTTCGAGGTTTAGCAGAGTAGATCTGGGTGCTTGAAATAGTCTCCCGCTGCTCTGGAGCGGCTTTGAATCGCTATGATCATTGTATCTCATGCTTGCTGGTGATAAGCAAGCAGACTGGTGCCCTCCCAGAATACAAAGAGGGAACCCTCGACAATCTGTGGAATGCCCATATTGATGGTTTGGGTCATGAACGCTTTGACCCCTGTTGAAGGGAGGCTGTCCCCAAACAGGACACAGCAGCGGGCAGCAACCCGGCGAAGCACCAGGCAACGCTGCAGAGGCAACATGGCTGCTCAACGCAAAAGACTACTGCAAGAGCGACATGGCAAGCGGTCGCACAGTGTGGCAACCACGCAGTGAAGCACAAGGCAACACCAACAAGGCAACCACACTGCAAGGGATGACAGGGCAGCCCGGCAACCATGCAGTGAAGCACAACGCAACACCAACAAGGTAACCAGACAACAAGGCACAAGCAAAGGACACGAAAGGCGCGGTCTGCAGATGGGCAGCAAGGCAACACCAACAGCACGGCCATACAACATAGTGAACACAGCAGCTTGCCAAGAACAACCTGCCAAGCAAGCGAAACGGGCAGCAAGGCAGCAGCGGAGCGCAGACGAGGCAGTCCACACATCCAACACGGAGCAAAGCGGCACATGACCTACTCACATCATGGTGAACCCCGAAGACTGTTGGTTCCCACCACCCACTGAGCCAGGGAGTCACTACGACGAACATCCATCATCACTCGTAGGGCAGACAGACATCCCGAACTGAGCCCCCCCCCTAAGAGTGTTGCAGGCACTCCGAACAAGGAATGACCGACTGTTTGGCACTGTTTAAGGGTGCTCAGCTCGGCACACAAAATGTACTTGAAAATATAACGGAAGAAACCATACAAAAAGAGACAGACAAACATACATAAAAATGAGTGTGTGTGTGTGTGTGAATGGATAGAAGATGGTGTGACATGAAGAGGGTGCAGAGAAGACCTACCTTCCAGGAGCTGTATCCCTGAAATAGTCGCCAAGTATTTGCTCTCTCTCTCTCTCTCTCTCTCTCTCTCTCTCTCTCTCTCTCTCTCTCTCTCTCTCTTGTTGTGTCTGAATGGATAGGAGGTGGCGGATACAGAGGGGAGGAGGAGACGAAGACCTTCCTCTCGCCAGCCCAGCCTCCTGGCTCTTGAGCTCTAATTCTAGCTCCAGGGCCAGACAAAAATAACCCCTCTGCCAGCAAACGAAACGGGACCTAGGCCCAGAAAAAGAACCACGGCCCTAGGGCTGGGAAAAATTGTAGGTCCCGCAACCCTAGAGCACAAGAACCAAAGTCAGGAGCCCCAGTGTCCGATATGAGAAGGCCTTATGAGAGCCCCATATTTGAGCCCCAGTGGCGCATATGAGAGGCCCTTGCATGCCACGATTTGTCTGATCAATGGTGGCACAGTACCAATTACATATCAACTAACCTATCTAATTTACAGCTTTTCTGAAAACAGAAACTTCATTATGGGCCCAGTGCCCAAGGCCGAGAATACAACATATGTCCACCAATACCAGGAAAAAGGAGAAATGCAGGGGGCCACCGGCCTCAGACCCTCAACCTTGGGCTGAGCGTCCTATTACCGCTTTTATTTATTTTTGAATTCGAATATTTTTTGCATGTTCTATCACCTTGGTTTAAGTTCTTTTCATGGAAAGGAAAGGGGGGAAAAAAAAAAGGAAAATTTGAAAAGACGAGGAAATTTGATCGCACCTGTCCATTGCCCTCAGAGTCGAAAGAGTCGAACACTTTCTTCAGAGCCGTGAAGGACCTCTGCAGCAGGCGTTCACAGAAGTGTGGTGTGCATACATCGTCGCCAAAGTCAAATTCTTAAAAGCAAGGTAAAATTATACTAAAATGTTTAAAACCAAAGAGATTGCAGTAAAGATCAAAACACTCACAAGTCACACACAACCACCAAGAAACAGACCAGGTTCACTTGAAAAAAGAAAAGAAAAGAAAAATTGTACGACCTGCCAAAACACTGACTAAGAACACGGCTGATCTCTGAGTTGTGTCGCTAGAATTCCGTGCTCAGATTCCCACGTTCTGCTGAGTTTTGTAAGTCTGTGTGAGTGCGTGCTTGCTAATCCGTGTGCTTGTCTGAGTGCACGTCTGCCTGAGTGTGAGTGTTGCCCGACAGGGCACTTGTGTGTTATGAGGCCCCAGGGGCCGGTACTTGCCTGTGGCTGTGACTTTGAGAGTTGCAGCGGGGAAAACACTCAAGTCGCAGAGAGTAGGCCGCGACACTTAGGGCAGCGGGGAAAACACTTGAGTAGATGGTGGGCCGGTACAGATAAAGTAGCGGTAGATGTGTCGGGAACCGGAGGCCGAGCAGAAGAAGACAAAAAATTGGTATTTTTAGAGGCCCGGTATAGGTAGGCTCAGAGATTGGAGGAGTTCGTACAGATGGTTTATAACAGGTGGCATGACCATCAGGGGGCTCAAAAGGCCACCGACTCGCTAGCTAGTCTAGGATCAAAAAGATACCGGACAGTTCGCGAGGTTACAGACGTTGTATAACGACTGGTTGTTGTTACTGGTGTGCCGCACGATCCGCAGGTCCTCCTCACAACTTGTTTGCGATGTCTGCCCACAAATGCCAAAAATAAGTTGGTCGATGAGGCCTCCATGGATGTACTAACTTCGCCTCGTTCAGCAAGAAGGCCTTAGACATAGAGGCTAAGCTTGGGAGTGCCCAGCAGGGACCGACAGATGGAGGACGAAGAAGCTTCCTCAGGATTGGAGAAAGAAGGGCAACCTCATGTTCATTGACCACGACGGTCAAGCGACTGAGATTGACGGCTTCGCTGACCTTGGGGAAGAGAGAGTTAGATGGTTGTGTAGACTTCAGATGGTGTAGTCGCTCCTATCAGGGAAAAAGCTAAGGGGGTCGGGAAACAGAGGCAGACCGGCCCAAGGGTCAATATGACCAAGGAACACCCATATTGGTAAAGCTTGGTCTAGAGTACGAGGTGTGGCGAGACCGTGTTGCACGAGGGGCTTGCCTGAACTGTGGCCAGTATGGTCACACCATGGCTAAGTGCAAGAGTAAACGGGGCGCACCGACGGTCGCGTCCTCTATAGTGACGATCGGATCTTCCAACTCTGGTGGTGCTTCTGCGAGCACTTCCCAAGGAAACGCATGGGGCCAATAGGAGTGCTAGCCGCTCTTACTCATGGTGAAGTGGTAACCTTACCTTTTCCATTTCAGATGATGGTCAAGGCTATTGAACCCATGATCGCCCCGCAGACAGATCCGGACCAATCGATGCTTTGTTCGATGGATGTGTTTGAGTCCTTAGAGGAGTTAAAGACTGAATGGTTGGAGAAGACCCTAGAGACTATTGGGCGATGTTGAGCTAAGGTCCAAAGGGTGAACATTTCGTGGTAGAAGTCAATGTAGGTGGTCAAAAGGTTGGCGCATTCGCGGACATAGGTTTTACGCAAAACTTCATAGTCGTCGAGTCCTTAGAGGAGTTAAAGACTGAATGATTGGAGAAAGACCCTAGAGACTCTTGGGCGATGTTGAGCCAAGGTCCAAAGGGTGAACATTTCATTGTAGAAGTCAATGTAGGTGGTCGAAAGGTTGGCGCCTTCGTATACATAGGTTTTACGCAAAACTTCATAGTCGTGCTTGTGTGGATAGCCTGCGCTTAGGGGACCAAGTGCAGCAACTTAGCAGATCCGTAGCATCTACCTTAGCCAACAAGCACTCTATGATAGTAAAGGACTATGTCAAAACGTAGTCTGCACCTTCTCCTATGGAGGAGCACATAAAATCTTTTGTTCCTTGTTAGTGACAAGCTGCCATTCGACATGTTGCTAGGCATGTACTACCTCGAGGTTGCTAAGCCTCGGTTCAACTGGGATAGGAAGGTGATGATCAACACGTTACAAGATGGAAGGACCGTTAGGCTGCAAAAGTTTAAGGCCAGCAGACTAGCGGAGAACTATGGTTGCATGTGCGCATCGTCTTTCTATTACTACAAGCAGAATTGCGAGGAAGGTATGTACTTAGTCTGTCTCTGAGAAAAGGGAGGTCGTAATATCAAGCAGAATTGCGAGGAAGGTATGTACTTAGTCTGTCTCTGAGAAAAGGGAGGTCGTAATATCACCCTCATAGATAGAAGTAGTTATTGCACAATACTTAAGACCTTTTTGAGAAGCCTGGGGGTGTGATAGATAGAGAGATTGTCCATGCGATAGAAGTTGTCCCCGGTAGCAAAGTACCTAGAGGACGGACCTATACGATGCATCATGCGGAGTCAGATAAGCTCAACCGCCAGCTCAAGGAGCTCACAAAGAAGCGCTGGATTCGGCCAAGTACGTCCCCCTACGGAGCACCAATTTTATTTGTCCCAAAGAAAAGGGGGACCCTAAGGATCTGCATTGACTATAGGGGCCTCAATACCATCACCGTTAAGAACATGGAGCCCCTACCCCGCGTTGACGACCTTTTGGATAGAGTGCAGGGATCTATCACTGTTTTCACGTGCTCAACATGCTCCTCTACAGTCCTACTTAAGATAAGAATATCATCGAGGTACACGACTATAAACTTGTCTAAGTGCTCATGAAAGATTCGGTTCATTGTGCGCTGGAACGTTCCAGGAGCATCGCGTATGCCAAAGGGCATCACCACAAACTCGTTCAAACATTACCTGGTTTGAAAGGTTTTGTGCTGGTCCTTTGGTCTAATGGCAATCTGATGGTATCCGGACTTCAGATCTATCTTAGTGAGACAGCACCAGAAAAAGGTTAACTTGGAGAAATGCGAATTTGATCGCACCAAGATTTTGTATCTGGTCACGAGCTTTTTGCGGATGGTTTGAGGTCGGACGATGCTAAAGTGGACAACATACGTGACTGGCCTAAACCTCAGTCTGTGACTGAGGTGAGGTCATTATTGGGGATAACGGGCTACTACCGCCCATTTGTGAAAAATTACAGCACAGTAGCCTCCCCTCTAACTGACCTCACACGCCTTGACACCCCATGGGAGAGGACTGAAGAGTGTGAGATAGCCTTCAAGAAATTGAAACCTGACACACTATGAAGTCCTCGAACTTCCAGACCCAGAACGGCCCTTTGTTGTGACCACAGACGCCAGCCAACGCGGCGTAGGCGCGGTCCTTGCGCAAAAGGAGGGGGGAAAGTTAAGGCCAATTGAGTACATGAGTAAGAATATGCCTTCTCATAAATTAGCTAAGTCCACATATGAGTGTGAGCTCTATACCCTCTATAGAGCGCTGGTCCAATTGGAGGCACTACCTCCTAGGCAGATGCTTCTATGTGAGACCTGACCATGAGACACTGCACTGGATTAAGACACAACCCGTGCTCTCCGACACACTTAAGAGGTGGATTGAAGTCATAGATATGTATGACTTCAAGCTTGACCGTCCGAAGCGAGAGTACAACATAGTAGTTGATGCACTATCGTGTAGGGCAGACTATCTGGGCACGCTAGTGACTGAGTTTGGGATTTCTGATGATGTAACTCTATCTATGGTGGAAGCCTATCAAGAGGACGCTGCCATGTCCGAGATCATCCATAAACTAGAAGCTAAAGACAAGGCTACTTCCGATGAGTTTGTGCTAGTTGACGGATTGTTGTTCCTTGAGAAGGCTAGGAACAAACGTTTGTGAGTAACGAATAGAGAATCTTTGCATAGTTTATTTTTAGATGAGTGTCACGATGCAACCGGACACTCTGTCTATAAAACGACAGTTGCAAACTTAGTGCGGAAATTTTGGTGGCCCACAATGATGGATGATGCAAAGAAGTATGTAGAAACTTGTCAGGTTTCACAGCGTGACAAGCCACGGACGCAGGCACAACTGGGTACGTGACTTCGGTCTACCTAAGTCTATTGTAAGTGACAAGGATGTCAGATTCACTAGCGAGCTATGGCAAAGTACAGCCCAAAAGATGGGCACCCGACTGCAAATGACATCAGGTAACCACCCTAAGCCAAACGGACAGGCTGAACAGATGAACCGAGTAGTGCAGCCCTTGCTTCGACGTTATATTAAGCCAAGTCAAGATGACTGGGATGAGAAGTTATCTCTTATCAATGTGGTGCACAGCACTACCGGTAAGAACCCCAACCAGCTGCATCTTGGTTGGAAGCCCAGATCTGCTCTTGACTTTTTGTTGCCTGAAAACCAGCCAACCGCAGCATCTGGTAGCATGGAGTTTGCTGTCAAGTACGAACCGATGCTGCAGCAAGTTGTAGAGCACATCATGAAAGCTCAAGATGCCATGGATGCATCTGAGAACAAACACGGAAGACTGTCCGCATTTCAGATAGGCGAACGAGTCTGGGTAAAGTCATCTGAGTTGGGACAGGAATTGGGAATCTCAGGTAAACTGATGCCACAGTACTTTGGACCCTAGTAAATTATTGATATAGTGGGAGATCAACCAGATGGTCCATATGTCATTCGCATCCCTGGTCACCTCCGCACACACCCTGTTTTCCATGCCTCCAAGTTAGCACATTTCGCTGAAACAGAACACTTTCCCTCAAGAAGATCAATGCTGACCCCAACCATGGACGGACATGTCGACATTGACGACATTGTTGAGCACAAGCTGATGCTTGTACCCAAGCCTCTAGGCAGGGGACACCCTCCGAAACTGCAGATGTCGTATCAAGTACGTTTCAAAGATCATACAGATCCTAAAGAAGATCAATAGTTCACCAGAGAGGAATTGATGCAGAGTGCTCCCCATGTTATCACAAGTTATGAATGAAATTTGAAAG